CACTACAGTATCACACATTACCCATCTGCATTTCATTTCATCAGCTCCACCTAGACAAATTGGATAGTACTCACTGGTGAGTCTGCCTTCCTCTGTGCCCTCTAGCTCTTGAAGGCTTGTAAGCCAGTTACTTCTTGCCTTTGTAGTCCCTCCCTCCCCATTTGAGTATCCAATGTCCAAGTTGCCCCTCTATGTCTACTCTGTGTGTGGAGGGGGGCATATATAGTTTTTACTAGAAATTTCATTAGTTGTTTGAACTTATTTACCTCTGTGAAGTATTTGTGTAAAATGGAGTTTATAAAGTTAAAGAATTAATATTTCATTGATGTTGTTTTGGATGAATTTAGACGTTAATATATATCCTATACGTTAAGATTAAGATGCAGATTATACTGCTTGTACTTAATGGCCTTTTGGGCTTTATGACTATAACTTATTGTCTACATAGGTTCTGATTGCTCAAGAGAAAATGGCAACAAACACAGTTTATGTGTTTGCCAAAAAGGATTCTAAATATGCCTACACTGGAGAGTGTAGGTCATGTCTAGAGAATTCTTCCCGGCCCACCAGCACTATATGGGTTAGCATGCTGGCCAGAGGAGGACAGGTATGGACTGGGATGTGATCTTGTTTGGGTTTATTCCTTTGTGTCTAGTTTTCTTATTTGTCAGACTGCATTTTTGCTCAGAAAAGCTTATCTGGAATATAATATCAGTTTTATATGTTCAATACTGTGTTGTTTATCAATTGTTCTACAACAAACTGGAGTCCCTGGGTGATGCTAACTGAGGGATTGGAGGTTTCAGTCCACCAAGAGGTGCCTTAGAAAAAAGGCCTGTCAATGTACTTCTGAAAAATTATGCATTGAAAACTTCACGGAGCACAATTTTATACTGATACAGCATAGGGTTGCCATGAGTCACAAACACTTAAGAGCAGCATTTATCATCTCACAGTTTCTGTGGGACAGGAAGGAATATTGGTGCAGCTGCCTGCGGCCTCTGGCAGAAGTCTGTCTCACAGGCTGCAGTCATGGTGGTTGTTAGCAGGACTGAGTTTTCATGAGGTGTTGGACTGAGCGTCTCAATTTCTCATTGGTTATTGACTTGAGACATCTCTTAGTTTCTTGGCACTTGGGCTCATCTGTACAACTGAAGACAATACAGCAACTTGCCTCATCAGAGTTAGTAAGCAAGAAGAGCCATAAAGAGTGTGAGCAAGGTGGAAATCAGTTTCTTATTTCTGAATCTTGGAAATGACATCCCATTAATTTTCCTTTTTTTAAAATTGTGGTTGTTGTTTGAAGCAACTTAGTATGCGCAGCTCACACTCGAGAGGAGGGAATCGTACCAAGGCAGTAGGAGGAGGAGGCAGGGATTACTGGGAGCCTTTTTCTAAGCTGTGCCTGTTGCTTATAATAATAAAGTCAAAGAAGAGCTACCGTTGGAGCTATTTTGTTGTAGTTAAGTGCTGTCGAGTCAATTTCCAACTTGTAGTGACCCTGTATAGGGTTTCCAAGGAGTGACTGGTGAGCTTGAACCACTGACCTTGCAATTAACAGTCCAGTGTTTAGGCTACAGCACCACATGAGGACTATTTGCTATGTGCTAATTATGTTACTCAGATTGCTTAATTCAGTCTTTACAACTATCCTACAAGGTAGTTGTAATTACCTCTTCCATTATTTAATAACTTATTAATGAGCATATTCATTTTAAAGTTACACATGCTTGTTAAAGTAGCCTTTTTTTTTTTTTTTTTTAATTCTGAACTGAGTGATAGTTTACATGGGAGAACATCGGCTTTGCACCGTTGTGTCAGTACAATAATTACAATCTCCTCCGTGCAGCATCATTTAATCATTCAACAGCATTTGCTTCTGTTTTCTCTTTTTGGGGGGATGGGGAGTAAGGAGATGTACAAAACACACTCAGAAATATATATGAATTTAAACAGCCAAAGGGCATATTCTGTAAGCCTGCCTCCTGGCCGTCAGCACACAGTCCCTCTCTTTCCATGAGTCTAGAGTCCTCACCTTCTTCCTCTCTCCATGTCCTCATCTCTTGTCTCCATCTCTGGTGTTGCTGCTTTTCTGGATAGGGTCCCACATTCTGCTCATGCTCTTCTCCCTTGATGGTCCTAGGGTCCTCTGTTCTTGGATTGTAAGATTAACTACTCCTCTCCTTCTTTTGCAAAACTTCTACCTTTGTAGTTATGACAGTCACAATTAATGATGATAACAGTTACTACTGAATCGTAAGAATCTTATCCCCATATCTTTTTACCAGTCCCGTCTAGACAAGATGACTACTATTTGGTGGGGATTCTGCCTTCCCCCGCACCCTCTGAAACTAAACTCCCTTTTGAAAACTTGTAAGCCAGTCACTTCATGCCTTTATAGCCCATCCATTATAGGTAGCCAATGTCTTAAGTTGCTTGCCCCTATCTACCCCTGTGTACACTTGATATGAAGACTCCTTCCCTCTCAGTTGATATTTTGAGCTACTACATATGTAAGCACAGGTCAAGTTCATCAAACTAGCAATTTACACTCGTTTCCTTTATCAAAAATTGTCTTTTTGTCTTCCTCTAGTCGAGTTCTGATTATCAAGCCATTGAGGCTAGTTTAGATAGGTACTATCTGCAAATTTGGGTGTTCTTGTGTATTTTCCCTCACTTCATAACATCTGGATGCTTCACTCTCAGCTCTTTCCCTCTATGGCTATGTTCTTGTCCATGGAATCAGGTGTTCCCGGGTCTCACCACACTTTGGACCAACCAGCCCTTCCTCTTCTCTCTCTCATCTCCAGGTCAATGAGAGTCATTGACTGTGGTTGAAATCAGCCCATTTCTTTATTGCTGCCTTTTCCCCTCTTTTACTCACCAGTAGACCAGTGTGGTCGGAGCAAGCTTACATCCCTGTTCATTGTTCCCTTTGAGTTTCAGTCTTAGGAGGGGAGTTTGTCCTGAAGGAACTTGATTGCTTGCTTTGATGGCTTCTTGTAGAACAACTTGCTTATTCTTGTAGTAGCCAGTCATACTGCCATTTTTGTTTTGGGTTTTTCCTGATCTTTCCTTGAAGATGTATCTTATATTGCTCTAGCTGTTCCAGGCTAGTCTCCTTATCCTCATAAGGTTCTGTCCCACCTCATAAGGTTCTGGATGTGGCTCAGGATTCCACCTAAGGTCCTGTACATTGCAAAATCTCCGCAAGAGGCCTGTTCAGTGGGCAAATTGTACAACCCCTTTTAGGTATTCCAATTGGTTACAGGCTGAAGACACTCAAGTGTCTGTTTTACAGTAGTAGGCAAGGGAAACCAATATTCATAAGACAGTCAAGCATCTTAGTATTATTTCCCATCTTTCGACTGTACCTGGGTCCCTGTATCACAGAGCCCTGTTGTTCCAAGGTTGAGCATGCATCAGTATTTACCTCTGTCCCATTTAGCCCATGCAAACCAGTTTCCGTGTTCCCCTGTCTACCTTGTTCTTCTACCCCCTTAAAGTAGTCTTTTAAAAGTATGAAAATGTGATGATGAATCTGTCAAACACCTCACAACATGGTTCATTCAACCTGGAAGACATTGTGCTGAGTGAGATTAGTCAATCACAAAAGGACAAACATTGTATGAGACCAGTATGGAATGTTAAAAGAAAAAAAGGTTTTCTTGAGAAAAGAATCAGCCTTTGATGGTTACAGGGGGAGAAGGGGGAAATGAAAATTATTAATGGGCTAGAGGGTAGACACATGTTAACGTGGGTGACAGGGTAGGCAATATACAACAAGTATGAGGTTAACAGAGAAATGATGAAGGTAGCTGGAGAGAGACAATAGTGAGGAATGAGATAGTTAAGTGAATAGAGGTAAATGCTGTTAACTGCTGGTACGTGGAGGAGATTGCAAACATGTAATGAAGCAAATGTATGATTTGTTGAATGTAAAATGGATGATCTGCTCTGTAAACCTTCACTCAATTCTCAATAAGTTAAAGTAAAGTAAAGTAAAATATTGTGTATACTATAAAAAAGTCTCCCTTTGATACCCAAGTCGCTGCTTTTGTTAATTTCTCATGAATTTATCCGGAAGTAGTCTTGATCCCAAACATACAAATGGACGCATACCTTGTATACTGTTAGAACTTGGCTGGTTAACTTCCATGAGTCATGTATACATCATGGAAATCCTTTATATTGGCACTTGATTATTCTTTTTGAAGTACAATATTCAAGACCTGGCATTCTGCTCCCTAAAAGAATATAGTTTAGGAAACCCTACGGGGCAGTTCTACGCTGTCATTTAGGGTTGCTATGAGCTGAAATTGACTTGATGACACACAACAACAACAACAGCAATATTCCATATGTGGTCCTGTCGGATCAGCACTGGACTGCGATCCACAAGGCTGGCAGTTCAAACCCACCAGTTGCTCCTTGGAAACCCTATAGAGGGTTGCTATGAGTCGAAACCGACTGAACGGCAATGAACAACAACCACAACAACAACATGAGTTGGAATCGACTTAAATGACACACAACAATATTCCATATGTAATACAACTATGTTAATTTTGTCACTTCTTTTGACGGACATTTCTGTTTCTCATCTTGGGCTCTTAGAAACAGTTCTGCAGAGTCCACTGTCATCTCTATAAGCCTTGTCAAGATGAATAGCCTGAAGATTAGACCATTTTAAACTGCTGAACATACAGATGTAGAGTAGGTGTTTAAGTAGCAAAATAGTTTTTAATTTATATAAGGGACTGTTTCTTGGTAATTAGTGTTGCTATTGATTTTTCTTAGACATACTTTATTTGTGAGATCATAATTGAATTACTCTATGTGTGAAACACTTTAGAAAAACTTGGAAGGTTGAGATTACTAGAATGGTGTGCGCTAGAATGGCTTAATAGAGAAGGTGGGAGACTTGATTTATACCCTGAAAGATGGTGTGGATTTATGTAAGCAAAGGGAAACTGGAAGGACTTTTTTTTTTTTCTTAATCCAGGTGTACAATTTAGAGATACCAGTTACATTTATCATGTTGTACAATCACCATCTGTAATCCTGACCAAGTTTCCCATCACCAAAAACACTCACTGCTTCCTGGACAGTAGTTCCCCTTCCCCTCCTGGAAGGACTTTGTTGATGGAAGAGAGTGGTGTAAAAAGTATTGGTTTGGAGAATCACCAGAAGACTGGGCAGGTGGAATGTGTTGTGTCATAGGTGGTAGGTAGCTGATCCAGATAGGTCTGGATTAGTTGTTTGTAACTACAAGTGTACATCAGTTTCCCTAAGACTTTAATGTACACAAGATTGATTCCCTTTTCAAATGTATTGAGTTAAATGGACTCTGGTAGTGAGACCCAGGTACAAGTATTCGTAAAAGGTCCCCAGGTGATTCTGATGTGCATACTTGGTTGACAAGCACTGATCTGGAGGACAAAGCTATGAACACAGTATATGAGGGAGATGGTCATGGCAGCTATGGACAAAATCAGTTACTTAGAGGCAGAGAAAGGGAAATCATTTGAATTTTGGTGATAGTTTTGATATGAAGATGAGTTAAGATACCGTGACTCTTGTGCAATGGGGATAAAATAGAGAACTTATTAAGAATTGCTATTTGGAGAGAATATAGTGAAGTTAAGCTTGTGTTAAGATATTTTTTGAGGGTCGTATGCATTATGTCGCTGGAGAAGGATATGTTTGGTAAGGTGGAGGGTCAGAGAAAAAGAGGAAGATCCCTAACGAGATGGATTGGCAAAGTGGCAGCATCATTGGGCTCAAGCATGGCAACAATAGTGAGGTTGGCCCAGGATCGGGCAGTGTTTTGTTCTGCTGTGCATAAGGTTGCTATGAGTCGGTACCGATTCGATGGCACCTAACAACAACATGCATTATGTAGACATTTTTTTAATGTTCTACTGGTTCTGGGAAAAGATGTCTGATTCAACAAATAACAGACCAAATTGAAGAATTGATACCAGTTAGAAACGATCAAATAACAGGTGAGATGTGGGTTGAGAGTGGCTGAGAAAGATGATGATTTGGGTGTCATTTACAAAAAGTTTCTGAATGAACCCATGAATGGGGTAAGGTTTCTAAGGAATAATATTCTCCCAATAACTTGTCATCCTCCTTCTAAAGTTGTCCAAGCAAGAAGACAAGTTATTAAAGGATCACTATATTGTAGGTTTCCAGAGAAGATATGTGAATTTGATACTGAAGGAAAGAAATATGATTAAAACTGAGGATCAGGTGTCACTAGTATAATTTTAATTTTGTTTGGTATGTGTGTATAAAGAAGTTGGAAAAGAAGAAACTTGTGGGAAAAAACTTTGTTAATTTTACAATATTTGAATAAGGCAGTGCTGGTGTGACTCTGTAGGATAAGTGCTGGACTGTTTACTGCAAAGTCAAACCCACCAGCTGCTCCTTGGAAACTACAGGGTCTCTGTGAGTGTGAACCATACACTTAGCAGCAACTTAACGTAACACTTAATAACAAAACAGCAACATACCTCATAGAATAACTCTGAATTAATATATTCTGTGTTTAGCTCTGCATGTTCTCTGGGTAGGGGCTGGGGAGGGGAGGGAGGTGGGAGATGGTAAAGGGATAATATTCACATGCTTTGGGCACCAGAGGTTACCAGCTATGGGCAAAATCAGTTAATTAGAGGCAGAGAAATTACCCGAATACATACTGGGTAATTTCTTAGTGTTGGGTAATTCTGAGAAAATCTTGGCAGGCAGACAGTAGAAAATAGACATTCTTGCAGGTCTAAGTGACCTATGTGTAAAACCACTGAATATTAAACCTATTCATTGCTTTCAAATCAGGTATACTCAAGGAATATTGTATTTCAATATTGAAGGGGGCTTCAAAGTTTTTGGAAATATTCTATTATCTTTTCATTCCATTTTTTCACAAACTTTTTAAGAGCCCCCTTGTATATCGAATGATTCTCATGATGTTTCTACATGGCTTTGAGCTCTGTGTATTCATGTTCTAATGATATTTTGTATTTTTAGGGTGCAAAAAAGAGTGCGATTGGTCAGCGCATTGTGGCAACTCTACCGTATATCAAGCAAGAAGTTCCCATCATTATTGTTTTCAGAGCACTAGGTTTTGTGTCTGACAGAGATATTTTAGAGCATATTATTTATGATTTTGAAGATCCAGAGATGATGGAAATGGTAATGTGAAAGCAAAATGTAATCATAGTGTTGCAATTGAGTTAAAGTTGCTGAATGTATCTAACCTTAAATATGATTGAAAGTTGCTCTCAAGAGCAATTTCGCTGTCACAGATCTTTTGCCATTTACCGTGTAGTGAAAGCATTCAGGCCTGTCTGGGCCTCTGTCCTGACAAGTCTCTGTAATATAGGCATGAAAACTACTGGCAGCCAGAATTCTCTGACAGCAATAGGAAAGTCATAAAAACCACCAGTCTGTAAAACGGCAAACTGAGTATAGGTTGACCCTGGCTTACAATAAGCTTGCATTCCAACAACTCTTGTTATAAGTAGGTCCTGATGTAAATCTACTCTTTTGCTTTTTAAAGTTTCGTTATTATTGCCTTTTCCCCTTAGTAATTTATAAATCTGATCTTTGTGGGCGAGAGAACATCTGAGAATGATTAACAACAAATTATGTGCTGCAACATTGTATGGAGTACATATCACAATAATAAGATGCAAAGAACCAAAAAACAATGCTCCTAAGTGTGGGTTGTTGTAACCTGAATACGCCGTAAGTCAGTGGCTACCTTTAGTTTATGTCTTTTATTTTAATTTTTCTCGAAAAAATTTAAGGTTACAGAAAAGCAAGAATAGTACAAAGCACTCTATACTCTTCAAGTGCAGTAGTTTAGTCCTGATTATGTCGTTTCTGTAACTGTGTTCTCCATTAAATATATGTGTATACATACAGCATTTACAAATGTATATGTAGAAACATCCAAACCATTTACTCCTGTATGGCCTCCCTCACCTGTTTAGCACACGTTTGCCTATGTATTTTCTCATAAATTATTGCTGCTTTATTATATATGTGTATTATCTATGTCTTTACATGACTTTCAACTCTTATGACGCTTAGGAAAAATTTTACAAGCTTGGGTTAACCATTCATTGTACAAAAGTACTATCAATATTATTCTAAAATTTCATGATTATCTTAATTCTTTTCCTAATCCATATTAGCTTTAACACAGCAGTTTATAGCAACAATGACAGTTTTCTTTAAAAAGACAGTTTTCATCTACCATGCTATCTGTGGTCTCATTTTGATTGGTTTATGTGTCTTTTTAAGGAGCTCTGGTAGCGTAGTGGTTACAAATTGGGCAGCTAACCTCAGGGTCAGCAGTTCAAAACTACCAGCTGTTCTGTGGGAGACAGATGCGGCTTTCTGCTCCTGTAAAGATTTGCAACCTTGGACCCTGTACAGGGTTTCTATGATTGGGAATCGACTCCAGGGCACATAACAACAACAGCAGCAACATGTGTCTTTTTACTGAACTTTTTTGCATGATTAGAATTTGTTGCTTCAACTTGTGGCTCAGTTGCAAGTAGACATACTGTAGAAAGTCAAAAGCCAGGAAAGACGTATACATGGTAGGATTAAAGGATACTTACAAGGTCCAGAGCTACTGAATGTTACCCCTCTTCTCATGGTCATTATTGTGTGGAACTGGAATTTTAGAATGTCAGAACTAATGGACCGTAGAGATTTGGCTAACCTTTTTTAGAAGTGGAAATTGGTTAATAAGACTGGTCATATTCATTGGCCTCAGCTAATTAGTGACAGGTATGAAATGCAGGTCTCTTGAACAGTGTGCTTTTAATATATTCTCCTTTACAAAGTATTCACTGGTTTTATTTATAGGTTACAAACGTAATATAAAATCTGAAAATAATCTGGCACATTTATTCATTTGTTAGTTCAGTAAAATTTGAATATTAAATTTCTCTAAATTGATTTTTGCAGTTGATCATTAAAATGTAAAAAACGAATACACTCAGCTGTGTAATGGGATTGTTTGTAATCTTGTAGGAAGTGTAATTGCATGTACTAGATCTATAAAGTCTCTTCTAAGCTGTAGGATAATCATTCGGCTGGTAGAGCTACAAGACTGGCAGTTCAAACCCACCAGCTGCTCTAGGAAACCTATATAGGGTTGTTGTGAGTCAAAACAGACTCAGTGGCACACACATTCAATGAGGTAATTTAACATATTACAGAATAAATGACCGTAGACTTTTTATACACAATCCTGCAATAACAAATAAATGACCATTTATTTTTAAGGTGAAAAAGGAGATTTGAGAATAAGTTTTATTTAAATTGTCTGACAGGTTAAACCTTCTCTTGATGAAGCTTTTGTCATCCAAGAGCAGAACGTTGCACTAAACTTCATTGGTTCAAGAGGAGCGAAGCCTGGTGTTACTAAAGAGAAAAGAATTAAATATGCGAAAGAGGTCTTGCAAAAAGAAATGCTCCCACATGTTGGTGTCAGTGACTTTTGTGAGACCAAAAAAGCCTATTTCTTGGGGTATGTCAAATTTTCTATTTCACATTGTCTGGGAAGATACACTTGAGAGAGCTTTATTCTTAAAATAAAAATATAAACAAATAAGTTTTTAATATGTAACTCAAGAATAACAAAACAAAGTTAAAAAACCAACCAACAAACAAACCCATGTGCTTTTCCATGTCTTTTTTTTTAAAGGTATATGGTTCACAGGCTTCTTCTAGCAGCTTTGGGTAGAAGAGAACTAGATGACAGAGATCACTATGGAAACAAAAGATTGGATCTTGCTGGGCCACTGCTTGCGTTCTTATTTAGAGGGTAAGGCCTTACAGTGTGCAGTCATGTAGGCAGAGTTCATTTTAGACCCATCTTTGCAGGGATGGAACTGACCTGACACTCAGATTGAGTGTTTGTGAAGGTAGTAGCTACATTCTTTTTGCCACTTGCCCCGGTTAAGTTCTGGTTCGTGTCTTTAAATGTCACGTTTGTGAGGACAAGTTATTACTTGTTTTTAAACACTATGGCTCTGGTAGCTGTAGAAAGTATTTGAGAAAGCTGAATTTTTGCCTGGATTTTCTAAATGAAACTTTATTGATGCTGCTTTTACATTTTATGAAAACACACACAAAGGCTGGAGAGAAATATATAAAGATATTAGCAGTGATTATCTCACAGTATTGGGGTTATGTGGAATTTCTGCTTTATTCTGGATACATTTTATCTTTTCCATATTTTCTATAATGAACTTTTGGAAGAAGTTATTTATAAAAATAAAATAATAATAGAAAATTTATTACAAAGACTTTGTATTAATATTAGTGTTTTTTGCATTATTCATCCGCATGATTGACTAGTGTTTTCAACTTTTGAAAAAAATTTAGTAACCCACTAAAACAGCGCGCCCTGATGGACATTCTCTCCCAGTTGCCCCATCCTCGGATGAATGCATATATATTCATGTATATCTATGCTTTGTATATATGAATAGTTACACTAGTACCGTCCTCTGCTGAGAATGCATGTTGTAGATACTTCAACATATAAAACAACACCATTTTATTTGGCAGTATGTTTAAAAATTTGCTTAAAGAAGTACGGATCTACGCACAGAAGTTTATTGATCGAGGAAAGGATTTTAACTTAGAATTGGCGATTAAAACAAGGATTATATCTGATGGCCTAAAATACTCTTTAGCTACTGGAAACTGGGGTGATCAAAAGAAAGCTCATCAAGCCAGAGCTGGAGTATCTCAGGTAAGAGTATCAACAAGTACAGTTAGGAAAACTGTTACTAGACTAGCAGATTCTTTTATTCATTGAGTGTAAAGTTTTTGCTTATTTTCCCTGGTCAAATCTAGAAATACATTGGGACCTATTGAGTTGGAGTTTTTTCTTAAAATTTTTCATTGCTGTTAAGTGCTGTCGAGTCGGTTCCAACTCATAGCAATCCTGTCTAGGGTTTCCAAGAAGCAGCTGGTGGGTTTACATCGCCAACTTTGTGGTTCACAGTCCAGTGCTGATCTTACAGTGCCACACATAATTACTGGGAGAGACTTAAGTTATGATTTGCAGTATAGACACTCAAGACTGTTAAAAAGTAGCATAATAGATTCTTGGAAGGCAAGACATTCCATATTGATGAAACTTTCATGTCTTCAGAACTCTTATTTGTTAAGCCAACACAGAAAATAAAACAATTACAAAGTAAGATATCCTAACATTGATTTTTCTATACTGGTTGTACATGCAGTAACTATAACAGCTACTTTTAGACATTTTTTTCTTTTTCAAACTTTTAATTGAAACAGTTGTGAATGAAAGTTTACAGAGCAGATGAGCTAGTTTTCCATTTGACAGTTGATACACATGTTGATTTGTGCCATTGATACCAATCCACACGATGTAACAATACTGTCCCCACTTCCTCCCTGTGTTTACTATTACCATTCAGTTTCCATTCACCCCATTGTCTTGTTCCTTTCTGATTTCTGAGTTTTATTCTTGGGCAAATGCTTTTTCGATGGTACATATGCATTTTTTTTTATTTAAGTTTTTATTGTGGATTGAGTGAAAGTTTACAGGGCAGAACATTGGTTTTATGTTCAACAAATCATATACCTTGTTTCATTACAATGATTATAATCCCTCCATGTACCATCAGTTAACAGTATTTCTCGCTATTCACGTTAGCTCTTCTTTTTTTTTTTTTAATTTAAGGTTTTTATTGTGGATTGAGTGAAAGTTTACAGGGCACATCATCAGTTTCACATTCAACAATTCATATAACTTGTTTCATTA